TTCCATTTAAAAAAATTAATGTGACCTTGACCTGACCTTCGCTACGCAACCCAAGGTCAAACTGATGTGATCAGTAAATACATCTTTTTAAACGCCACAACTTTTGTCTGAAACATTTTTTTGTAAAACTTATATTTTTCCTGATATTCGGGCGTCCCGGTACTTTCCAAACACCCTGTATATATATCATAAATATGAATAATATATTGTAACGCTATTTCGTGTTCCGTGCGGGATCAGCTGCGAGTCGGTGTGGTCCGAATTCGAGCAGATGGCAATAATCGTGAAGACAGTGGGATGGATAGTATAATAATATATATTGTCGATTAGATGGCTATTTACAATGCGTATGTACAGATTGAGTCGACGCCGTTGGCTTCGCGCGCGGGTTTTTGTGTTCGCGCGTGTTGATGTCTGCTGCGGCCGTGCTCGGCTGTAGGACCGCTGGCGGTCGCGGGACGCGGGCGGTCGTGTGACGCGTCGATCGTGTTGTGCTTGCGGCACGATGTTGACGTTTGGATCTTTAATTTTTGGTCGCGCGAAGAGAGCCGTTTCTTGACGACTAACACGGCTCGGCTGGCGTGATGCGTCGGGTTTGACGTTGCGGTCGTGCGCTACGATGCGGTGCCGCGGGGATCGGTTTTCCCCGGGGCGGCGGTGCGACTTCGCGGGATCGACCTTACGAATCTAGTACGGTGACGGATTGGTACGCGAGGATGTAGGCTTTACGAATTCGACACGTCTCCGCGAGTGTCGACCCTACGAATCCAACGAGTCGACGGAGCGGTAACCGGTACGGATTTAATAAGCCTACGCGGATGTCGGCTTTACGAATCCAACAAGTCGACGGAGCGGTAAGCAAGGATGTAGACTTTACGAATCCAATAAGTCTACGCGGATGTCGACTTTACGAATCCAACAAGTCGACGGAGCGGTATCGAGGAATGTCGACTTTACGTATCCAACAAGTCGACGGATCGGTGACGAGGAAGGTCTAGGAAACGGTGTTCTAGTTAGCGGTGTTCGCGAGGTGCTACTGCTGTTGGAGTCTGAGCTCTGTGCAGCGGAGTGCCTCGGAAGACTGCTCTCCACTGAGCTTTTCGTGCGGT